TGGATTCTTCGGACTATTTCTCAACACAGATTTTACCAGGCTTCACCTATGGGCAGTTGTATTCCTCACCTTGTTTAATTCCCACCTTTCAGTGATTACAGTTCTTTGTTACCTGGTGTCTAGTGTCCTGAACATATGTTCTGATATTATTTAAGTGTAGCTTTGTAGCATTCTAGAATGTTTTAATTCAAGTGGAAAGCCTCTTATTACTCAGAATTTTGACATATAAGTGATTTTAAGCATCTGTTTCACTGACAATTATTTTGTTAATTTGTTTAGAGGCACATACCTTTAAATTACTTTAGTGCATAAACCATTAAAAAAATAGCCACTTGCAAAGTCATTTATTAAAGTATGATGAGTTTACTTAATGGAAAATAAAATTATGGTATAGTACTTTTTAGGGTAACTAGAAATTTTTTTCCACAGAAATTTCTTTAGAGTTTTTCCCCAGAATTAATTTAGCATAATCAATGTTTGCGATAAAAATATATTTTGCTGGATCTAGAAGTATAATGGCAACATTTCTAAAAGAGTAAAATTAATATCATTTATGTTTTATGTCCTATATTTTCTCAGCCCTTTTAATGCTTTATTTCTTTCACGGTATCACTCCAAATGTTTTCCATTGGAAATTTATATAGATGTTGTGAGACACAAAATATTGTCTTCCAGTTTCTGAATTGTAGGTAAAAGGAATTCTGGAGATCTTCTATTCTTATATTTTCATTGAAGAGTAGGAAATGGTTCTCTTAAATCACACCAACCCTTTACTTAGTACTGTCATTATATTATGCAGTTGTGTTGATCGAGACAATTAATAACAATCAGGAAAATACAATCATCCTTAGGCAATATTATGTGCTGTTACAGGTAATATCTGGCATTGTTTAGCCAAGTTCCAGGGCACCTATGTAGAGATGATGGTTGCTTCTGAAGTAACCACTGAATCATGTTCCAGGCAGTTCACAGTACAATCCACTTTGTTTCTGTCTTTACCACCGTCAAACCTCATGTTATTATTTCACATTAGAAGCATTGACAACCAACTGACATTTATCCAGCCAGGTGAACAGGTGGTGTTGTAAAGTTAAATTTGTTATTAATATTTGTATAGTTTCCTAAGAGAAAAAAACTAAGGCTATCTACATGCTTAATTATGCTGCCTCATCAAAGTTCTTTTATACTGGTTAAGTATAGTTCCATTATTTTCTGAATCAGTAATAACATAAAGGTAAAATGACTAAAGTTAACAGATAATTTCATATTTTTTAATGTCGTGAACTTTTTCCAAATGATGTACATTCTGTTTCAAACTGCATTCTCAGGCTTTGAGATTTCCTTAGCAATAATGATCAGAATCAATTTTATCATTTTTCAGGAAAAAATTATTTTGTGAACATTTGCAGTAAGCACATTAACATTGAAGTTGGATGATCAGAATTATATTGTTGGAATTCTTATCAACTTTTATTCATTACTGCTACACATAGTTCTTTTGCTGAGAATTTATATTTGATCACAATCAATATCTGTATTCTTTAAAACATTAAAAATGTATAAGAAACTGTCTATTAGTGAATTGAAACAATTTTGTGTGCTGAAATTCTAATTCAGAAACCCATATACATTTTTTAAATTCCCACTTTAACTTACCTACCAAGTGTGAATTTTCTGACTATATAGTATTGCTTACATTATTAATTGTTCTGAATTGAATTGCATGCTAGGCAAACATTAAATTTGTAAACTTGTTATTTTAGGTAAGGAAACATTTAAATCATAGCCACATGATTAAGAAAATTATACTCTCTTTTAGAAGACCTAAAAACATCAACATTTTCTTCCCAAGTATCTAGACACTGTTAATTCCTTCTTCAAGGCAATTAAGTCAAATGCATTTCAAAAGTACTGAAGAGGAAATGAATATAGTTTATGACTAGAATGTAATAGTAGTCAGCATCACATGGCATTTCATAAAAATATCACATAATTCAATCTACTGAACTGGAGAACATTTCTTCTTTAACTGAAAATAATTCAGAATTTTTTCATTGCATATAGGTCAATCATCTATTTTTAAGTTGAGATACAACACAATATACTACACTGTCACAGTTTCTCATCTTAATGCTTGAATAAAAGGTATTGATCACCAAGGATTTATTTTCATCAATGCTAAAGGTTAAGCCAAGGAACATTATTTAAATTTAATAACTATACATTTTATTTATATCTCTTAGTCAAAATATTATAAAGGAAAAATATATCTGAGTATTAGTTTAGATGTCAATTATGAGTCTATTAGAATCTATAAAATTTTGTCATAATAAAAATATAATGAGTGTTGGATTTTAAAGTGTATACAGACCCAGACAATAAATGTATCTTTGTGAGAGTAAATGCTAGTCAAAAAATTATCTATATTCAACAACAAAATAGCCATGGAAATTATAGCTCAAACAATTTTTCCTTTTCTTTCAAACAGAACCCAAGAAGACTACAATATGTCTCTGCCTATTAGTTGGAAGTCCCTGTCATCACAATAAATACTAAATTTTTTAAAGTGTTATTATTAAATATCATAGTATTAAAAATATTTAAAATATAGAGTATAACTATACCAAGAATTTGATCCTAAGAAATTATTTTTACATTCCAGCAATAACCACTACTAGTTTTTATTATTATTATTATTATTATTATTTATTTCCACACAAGGTCTAAAGTGTTGCTGCGTTCCTATAAAAAGACCAAGTTGCTTTGATCAGTGATAAGGTAAATTGTCCATAATTGTACTGAGCAGTGTACACAAAAAACTTACAAATCACTCCATTTTTATTGCTTTAGCACTCAATTCGTTCAGGAACACCCTGAGTAAAGTGTTGCTTAAAAAAGAATGTTCCAGATAAAGGCATCCCTCTGCATGCACCCTTGCCAAATTCAGCTTTACATTTGTGCTGATTTATATTTTTTTCCTGTGCAGCCAAGTATGCTCTTACAGTCAACACATCACCCGCGGGTTTGCAGTACACACATTAAATTAACGTCAGTTCATTACTCTCTGATATTTACTGAAGAAGGTCCCCTAACACTGCTCTCATCCTGACCACAAAAGAAGGTGACAGAATCCTTCACAAACTTTCCGCTTCTGTAGCAAAAAACCTAGGTCTGACCCTGTGATTTTGATTAAGCTACACAGGGAGTCCAAAGGAAGAGAAGAACAAGGAAATTAACAGGGAAAGCAGGAGCGTTTAATGCTTTAAGCTAGTGACAGAAATTTTGAAATGCTTTGAGGAATAGCAGGATCATTTTAATGAAAATATGGCTTTCCAGGGAAAGCTGCTTTGAAAAGTTTAGAAATGGTTTTGATGACTTACACATGTTAGTTTTGACTTTTAAAACAATCCTATTATTTTATATTGACACTTACCTCCAGGTAACAAAAACTCACTAAATGAAAATAATTGTATACTTTAAATAAGAAAAACAGTGAATATTACACCTTCCCACCTCTATACAGCAAAGATGGCAAATCCATTTACCCAAGTGTGTTTCTTCCAAGAAAAGATTAGGGCTTCTGCTTCATCTGTTCAAATTTGAAGTGTAAGCAGGTGCAGAATATTCTAAAGTTACCCTTATTAACCTCTTCACCAACATCACTTCTTACACAAAGAATATGGAAATACAGTCCCCTTATCTTTGCCTTGGATACATTACAAACCCTGTATTCTCCATTACAAAGTTTGAAATCTCATTTTTTTAAATTAAAACTTTTGATGACTGAAAAGGCTTCTTCTTTATCATACTAAATATTTCTAACTAAAGCATTATTATTCATACTCACTCTAGAATTAAAACTTAACTGGGAGGCAGACATAGGCAGTTACATTCCATTCAACCATTTCAAATACAAATACTTGCATAAAAAAACATTTTGTGATGACAGTACTCCACTTTTATGCAAAAGTATTATTAGCTGTGGTCAAAGTAGAAAATGATTGATTTTCTGGAATCAGACTTACTTATGTCACCTTGAATCTGTGAGTTCTGACTTTCCTCAAGATAAATTTCTAGTCCTGTTAGAATGTCTAGGTGAGAAGCTCAGTATCACAGGGCTGAAACTTAAGAACTGGATGGGAATAACCATTGATTGACTAACATAGATTCTCTACCAGATAAGCAGTATATAACATAAGGAGGAAAATACCCCAAAGGAATAAATGGGGAATTATAAAGAGCATTTTTAAGAAGTCTTATATTTATAAAATTAAAATAATGAAAATGTGTTGATTGTCCTCACATTGACATTGTATTCAGAATGTAGCAACAAAGAGAGATGGATTTGCTTCATTTATTCTTTTACCACCCATGTGTTAACTTTCCATGCCAACCAGTGTTTTAGACACTAGAAATTCAAAGGTCTGCCACTAACTACTCAATAGTAGATACAAACATATCTTCAGATATTTCAAAATAGATGTCAAAAATAAAATCATAGATGTAAATAAGAACAAGGGGAATATGAAGAACCATTCACAATAATGCAAGAGAAAAAGCAAGTTCATAGAGATTTAATGAAGTCCCTGTTCTGGACTTCAGTAAACACCATACTGTTTTAAAGAAACCAGATCTGATTAATTCCTTAAAATATTTCTAGAACACTAAAGTATAAGATATGCTTAGAGAAATACAGATCAAACTTTTTCTCTACTCTCAGAAACAAAAAGTGATAGGATTTATAATACTTTTTACTGTTATTATATTATTATATTATTCAGTTGAGTTTTAAACTTTTATATGAAAAATATTGTGCAAAGAAGATCCCTTATTAGTTTTGGTGGGAAAGGTTACATTTTTTTGTAACTAACAATTTCAAAGACCACCAAGAATAGATGATTCCAGGATTATTGATATTTAGGTTTGCCTCCTCAATTTCTCAATAGAAATCAATCTGCAAAGCTAAGCTACATTTAGGTTTGTTTCATTCATCCTTGTAGCTCATTTTTGAAGGTATCCGAGGTCCTGGAATAGAAGGTGACATTGCCATTGATGATGTATCAATTGCAGAGGGAGAATGTGCAAAACAAGATTTAACGACCAAGAGTAAGTGTCTCTTCTTGTATTGGTTTGATGTAATGTTAAATTAATATGATTGCCATTAAACTAATATATTTTAATTTTAAAACTATTTTTAGTTTATTTAGAAATTTCTTATATCTGAAACTTCAGGATATTTTAAAGTCAAAGTATTCAGTGGCTCTAGGTATATTTGGGCAAAAATAAAATTAAACTAGTTTTAATTTAGATCTATGTAAGACAAGCATACTTTTATTTTTAATTAAGTTTAAAATTAATTAATTTATGCTATTAGTTTCAGAGATTTGTAAAACTTTTTTTTTTTTAGGAGAGACTTTTTTTTTTTAAGATTTATTTATTTGTGCATACTGAACTGGGGTACAGGCCAGAGGCTCAGGGGCGGTGAGAGGCTTCACCAGAGACAGAGCGGGGAACAGAACAGGCAGATCAATGAAGTACACTGCTGAGGGGAGCAGCGGGCGGGTCAGGAGAGGTCTGCCACGCCATGTGGTCTCCTCCGGGGCAGGCGGGAATCGAACTCATGCGGAAGCGTCTTTAGATTCTCAGTGCTGTGCTTTAACCCGCTGGGCCACCAGGGAGGGCCGATTTGTAAAACTTTTATTAAAAAACTTGCCTAGTAAGAGAGATGGCACACATTTATGTAGCTATTTTTTTAACCTAAAATAGTTGTTTTTATGTGGATCTAACTTTTGTCAACCATTTTAACAGAATCAATATTTTGAAGAGATTTAATACATGTATTAGTAATGGACTAGCCCCCATTTTTGTACAATGAATCTTCTACTTGAATCATGATCAATTATTTTACTCATTTAGTTTTATTTTTCCTTCTAGTGTGAATATTGGGTTTAGTGACAACTTCATATTTTATTAAAATAATAACTATTCTATACTATAATACTAGAATAACTATACTATGTATATACTATACATACTATAATACTATAATAACTGATGATTCAGAAATCATCAGAATAATGTCTTGACTTCTGTAATTCTTCATCTTCATAATATCTACTTGAAATTGAACAATCTACAATTATGGCATCTAAAAGTTCCTCCATTTGAAAAAGTTTCATAAGCTTGAGAGCACTAAATTTATGGTGACACAAAAGGTAATAAGCTAAAATACACAAATAATTCATCAATTATTTAACACATAAAAAAGAGTATGAAAATCTATTTTGTGTAAGCTTAGACGAAATCAATGCTTTTGTTAAATGAGAATATTTAGTGATAAATCATTATCAAACTTGTACAACTTTCCAGTGATTGCTCTTATGAACTGAACTGACTCCATTTTTTAAGCATTGTGAAAGCACAACAGATTCTGCTTTTTGTAGATAAAGTTGTATATAACAGTGACCCCTTTCCTCTTAAATTTCACTTACTTATCATTACACTTAACATTCTAAGTAACACATTTAGCGAAAAACACGCCAAGTGCCTAACTTTATTTTAGAAAATAGATAGCTCTACCCAAATGAAGTATTCTCCACAAAGGAGAACAGGATTTCTATTGAGTAGCATAGCATAAATCAAAAATATTATATTAACTGCAAAAAGTTACTATCTTATATAGAAATCTGACTTCTTGATAATATAATCACTGAAAAATATTACAAATTAAATGAAATGAATTGACCCTTTCAAATGAGGAAAAAAGACAATATAACTTAATTCCAGAAGGAGAAATAACAGAAATGATAAAAATAGTAATGATAAAGTGACTGTGAAAACCAGTAGGACTTTATACTTCCATAATAAGACATTTCATAGTTTTCTTTTCATGAAATATTATAATCCAAAATGAATGTGTGGCAGTCTTAAATGAGCTATGTCTATATGTATTTGAGATATTTTTAATTAGCCTTTGTAAGTCAGGGGAAACAATCCTAATTGAATATATTCTCTTTGGTATAATAAAATATTCTGTTATATTTGTTTCCATTAATTACCATTTGTTAAGTTTATTTTGAAAAATGTTAAATTTGTGTCAAATTCTAAAAGTTAATTTCTAACTTGGAGGACAATAGCTTCTTTCTACCTTCTCAGGGTCCGATCCCTCCTAGACGTAACTGGTGTTAGGTGCTATATTCACACGCACACACACAAAAAAATTAAGATGATATATCTCTTATTTTTAACACCTAGCTATCTCCTAGGTCGGCCACCATTCTGTAACTTAGCTAGGTTGATGTATCATTTGTTTCTATGTTAGTTTTCTAGGCAAGGTATACAAATAGGTAAGTGGTAGCATGTGAATATGAAACTTAACTTGGAAACCAACTATAGAAGGAATCTCAGAGTGGATTGGCAGAAGGGACTTTTAAGTCAAATGAACTATATCATGCTTCTAAAAATAACACTAAAGAGGGCCCTCCCTGGTGGTGCAGCGGATTAAAGCACAGCACTGAGAAGCTAAAGCCACTTCAGCATGAATTTGATCCCCTGCCCCGGAGGTGATCCACATGGCGCTGCAGACCTTTCCTGGCCCGCTCACTGCTTCTCTCATCAGTTGGCCTGTTCTGCTCCCCACTCTGTCTCTGGTGAATCCCCTCACTGCCCCTGCACCTCTGGCCTATACCCCAGTTTTGTATGCACAAATAAATATTTTTTAAAAAATTATACTAAAGAGATCATTGTCTACCCTACATAGAGGACTGGTTGAAATATTTATGATCCACTATCTATATGATTGATTTCTCTACCCTGATAGTTTCTTCCTGGTTTCCAGAGAGACTGGTTTTTCTGGATAGTTGGGGGGGAAAGCTAACCTTTCGGGATTTCTCAATATTTTCTATGTGTGTACTCTGATGTGACTAGAAGAATTCTGAATGGAACTCAGCCACAAACCCATACAACTATCTTATGATCAAGTTTCCATATATAGTATATTAACACAAACCTGAGTATTATTTATTTTATCAAATGCCTAAATACATGTCCAAGTTATTTTCCTTCTTATCCTCCTTGAAAATGAAGATTATAAAAGAAAAGAAGTTGTTTTCCTTATACTGCACTTGTTTTATTAGCTCACTAAAGTTAACATTGTCAGCTATATGAATACTTACTTTCCCTTTTTTCTTTGTTTCTTGGTATTTATTTTCCTTACCTTTAGATTCTGTCGATGGTGCTGTTGGAATTTTAGTACATATATGGCTTTTTCCAGTTATCGTCCTCATCTCTATCTTAAGTCCTCGAAGGTGACCTTATCCTGGCAGAGGCTATAAAAGATTCACCAGGCACTGGCATGAAGAAAGAGTCTTTGTAAATGGACATTGAAAAAACAAACTACCAAAGATTCCTCCACTGACTACTGACTCAAAAATAAAATAATAAAAACACATTTTTTTAAGCACTGGGGATAAAAAGACATCATGGAAGTATAACTTATTCCAAACTACATATAAAAGATAGTCTTGACCTGAAAGAGAAGAGACCTTCAGGTGCTTTTGTGGCTAAAAAGATTACAGCATCATCTGGTCATCTGGTTGAACTCTGGAAAAAAAAAAAAAAAGAGCTATAGAAAATAGAAATCCTTGTCAAAGCACAAAGTCATGGCTGGTTTTGTTTCAAATGAATAGTTTGCTTGTTACCATGGAAACCTAATGGCCTGCCAACAAAAACCTCACTGTAAACAGGGTACGTGAAGAGCTGGCATTCATTTTCCTTTCAAGAAGGGTTTATGTAGAGAATGAAATAAATGTAGGCCCTTTTACCTTTGGTTGTTACCCTTCCTTGAAAATAATCCGAACTCAGAATTATTTAAAGCATTCATGTTCCTTCCCACCTACCCTCCTCCTTCCCTTATTATTATTATTTAATTACTATTATTACTACTACTATTATTATTATTTGTTTTCCTCCCACAGCTACGCTAGATAACTGTATGCTGTCTCTTTTTGCATGCACTATTATCCAGGATGATAAACCTGGGCTTACATATTACACAGGCTTATCGGAGTTTGCTTGCGGCCACTTGACACCCAAACCAAGTCATCTGTTCCAATGAAGAAACCAAACCACCATCTTTTATAAATTGCCATGGAAACCAAGTGCCTTCAATGAAACAAGCCTGAATAATTTTCAGCTCAGAAGCTTGCACTGCTTAGAGTGGTTTGTGGAAAACTATTTTATAAACAAACTACAAAGCCTACATGTGCAAATTACAGGCAAGACAACAAAGCCGCTTCTGAAGAAGAAAGGACTGAAGCTGCTGCATAAACACACGCAGACAAGATGTTGTTGACCTCTGAGACAGCCATGGCCTTTCGGCTTATTGTCCATTAGAAAATAACTTCCACTGAGACCAGACATGGGAGCAACATTTTTTTTCTTCCAGGTTATTAAAAGGGTCAACCAGAGCAAAAGGTTGTTAAGATAATACTTAGCGCAGAAGGTGGTAAAACACAGGAGTGATTTCTCACTTTAACCTCCATTTGAAATGAAATTGGCCCTAGCTTTAGAGGGAACAAGAAAATGTTTGTGATTCAGTGCATACAAACTCTACAGCGGAACTGGGCCTGAAAATCTGGCTTTATTCTAACCACTGAGGGTATATGCCTCTGCCCTTTAGTCAGACTCTGCAAATTGTGAAATATTATTTTATTATTTTACCAAGATTAAAAAACACTTTTACAAAAAAACAAAAACCTGTAAAAATGATTTTGAGCTACCTGAGGACAAATCATACCTTTAACCAGCCAGTTTTCCAGTGCATTGTAAATTTCCCTCAAACCTGTTGGTTATGAAAATTTGAAGATCTTTTTCCTTAAATTATCTCAGCTTTTAACTTCATTTAAAAAAAAAAGTTTTGTCTAAAGAATATTATTATTATATGTTCTTTCAACACCCCAGGATTAAAAAATAACTGATTATGCAAGTAATTGGAATATAGTTATTAAATTATAACAATTGCAAATAAAGCACAACAAGGTGTAGTGGAAAAGTGATAAAGCTTGATTTTTAAAAAAAGATTCTGTAGAAATGTTTGTGCAAATTCAGTAATTCAACTTAAAAGATCATTTTACAGCTATGTTCAATAAAGCCTCTTTCCAGGTAAGGTATGAAAAGCCGTATGTGTGTTTGTTGAACTATGTTCACCGGTCACTAAAACAAGATTAGTTATACAATATTATCTTTTATGTTATCATGGGGAAAATATTCAGTGTTTTCATATATATTATTGTCTGCAGAAAGAATTTTTTTTTTTGCAGAAAGACATTTTAATAGGCTCTTCCTAATACACTCTGCTATATTTGTAATACATGAAAAGAAAGTCAAACCTTTAAAATATGAAACAAATACAAACTTGGAATTGAATGTTTATTTTCATTGCTAAAAGAGGGGACCAGTCAGAATGTCTTCATAGTGAAAGAATTGAGTTAATCCAATCCTTTAACAAATGGAACAGATAAGTTCCATAACTTATTTGAGCAGATCAGGCAAATTGAAAAATTTTCAAAATTAGTCACCTGTTTTATCAAACCAAAGAATAAATAATACTTGTGTCACTTAGTTTAATATTTAGTAAATCTGCCCTCAACTTGACTACCATTTTTGTGACTACTTTTTCTCTTCACTGTCCCATCTTAGTGGATCATCACTTTTAATTGATTTTCTACACACTCACTTTTGATAATATAAAGTTCTTGTAGAGCTAAAGGCTTAACTCTGTTGCCTTCTTCATTTGATCTTTAATTTGACTAGAGTGAGGCTTTTGCAAAATCAAAAAAAAATCTTTATTCGAAATGTTAGGATGCATATGTGTCCTTTGCAACAAAATAATCAACTCTCCTCTCCCTATAAGAAATCCTGTACAAAAAAAATTCCTGTAAGTTCACATTTCATTCCTACCAGTAAGCATTCAGAAAATACTAAAATTCTCCTGTAACTTTTCAAACAGTAAGAAAAGACTATGCTTCGGAAGTTCATGAGAACTGGCTGGTACTTCAAAATTAGTTTTCATTAAATTTTTGAAAAATTGTTAATGATTGCTAAGAACAAAGAGGCAATCAAAATGCAAAACAATTCAATTTATTGATATGGTAATACATTTAAATATATATATATATATATCTCAAGTGGGTTCTGGATCATTTATATAAGCAAAATTAAATTCAATATTTTTTTCACTCAAGAACAAATGTTCATTTATTTGAACTGAAAGCAAATGATAAAGAGACAGGAAATGTAAAAAAATTGGGAAATAGAAATTGTTACTTAACTCTTTTAATGTTATTAATAATAATGACGATTTTGAAGCACTTATATGTTTATCAACTGCCTTCCTTTTGCTAATATGTGTTATGTTTATTTTAAGTTGAACTCACCAACATATTGCCTTTTTTTCCTTTTTGATAACATTTTACATGTCATGGTACCAGTAGATTCATTGTTGTTCTTTTATAGGCAGTGGAGCTTTTATTTTTCTGGGAGAAAGATTACACTATGTAATCTCCTACTGCCACTAATTAGTCCTAACTAATTAGTAGCATTACTATTTTTCATCAGTTCAGAGATGCTTATTCCTCCACATTTTAATATCTCTGGAGCAGGGTCTATTTAATTACAATTGGCAGCATTTTATATTATATAGTACATCTTAAAACTTATCGCATTGTAAATGAGTTTAAATTCAATAAATTTTTCAAGGGTGTCAAATCTTGCCCATTATCATTACTTTTTAACAAATTCCAAAGTGAAAAGATACCCTATCACCTATGTAAAATTTATATTAATATCACTACCATTATTTAAAAATAAGATTACTTTTATTTTGTGATTTAAAAAATTTGTTTATTCTCTTACATAACTGCATAAGCCTGCTTTCTTTCACTTTTTCTCCTGCTCTCATGAATTATAATATGCTGTGTATTTCCTGGCTTCAAGTGTTTTCCTGTTTCATATGGTTCATAGTACCTAGTAGGTTAGAAGTTTGGCACTCTCACATTTTCTTTAAGAAAGTTTAGACATGCATAGTATACCACAATGTCATGCAGTAGGCCAGACTTCATTTCACATATGTCACAGAATTGATGTAGGCATGGCAATGAATTACAAATCTTATAATAAAATAGCAAATCAATGAAACAGCTATAGCTTGCTGCAAATAGTATAAGTAATCCCAATCTTTATTTTTATACTTTAAAATATGACAAAAAGTAATGACAACTGTACCAACTTTTCACCAAACATGCATTTTTATTTTAAAGATTTTGTAATAAACTTCTCAACCATATGTGTAATTTGAAGAACAATGAATTAATTTAGTTCTATACTTAAAACTGTATGAAACTGGCTGTGGTATTTTCATTGTCTGTTTTCATTTTTGTTTTGACTAGTGATTTGAAAGATGGGACAGACTATTTTAATTCTGATAGCGTGATGTCAAAGAATTCTTTTGAATGCATGTTCTTTATCAGAACCTTTTTTTTTTTTTAACGTGCCTTTCAATGATCAGAGCCTCTCAAAAGACATTTAAACTGGAAAAAAATTTAGTCCAAATTTACTTCCTTCTTGGTTGATGACTACTACTTACTATTTCCTTAGTCTGTGTCTCAACAAAGCAGAAGGTATACTCTTCTTGCAACTGGGCAGTTGATGTCAATGAGGAGTTATTGCATTTTCTGTGAAAACAATAAAATCATAGGGTTCAATCCTAAGCTATTTCCTTTCCTACAATGTTCCCTTATGGCTGACCAGTTTAATTAATTTTCTTAGTACTTATTTTTAAAAAGCAATGTCTCCTGTATTTTCTACTTCAAAATAGGAGAAAAGCTACCATGGAATAATCAGAACATTTTTTGAAATCTATTTAAAAAGTTGTTTTTGTTGAATATCCATATTTATAATATATGTTGCTATTACATAGAAAAAGTAAGACTTAAAGACATAAAGCTTTAATGTGGAATATATCAAATTCGCATCAAACTATCATGTTTATATCTGCTTAGAAACAATTGAGAGGGACAGATAAGTAGTCCATATATTTGTACATATGGGCGATTTTATTGCTATATGTTCATATAAAACTTATGAAATTATGAGTTGTGATTTCACTACCTTGAACCCACATTGAGTATATTGAAATTAAGGAATTGGAGCTCAAATTTTTGAATAGGGCAGAGGTTAAACTCTGGGTAAAATTGAGTTAGTTTTCTCAAGGGAGAATTTTTAATGATTTAATTTAATTTCAAATGTACTAATTTTCCATGAGTTGAGCTAAAATGTATTTTTTTCAATAAAATTTTGGAAAACTCTATGACATAGGGACTAGCTTTTTAGTTTCAGTTTGTTTTCATATGACTTTTAATTGCTGTCCTGGATTTCCAGGATATCATTTTATTTCTTGAGTTTTATCCATATATTTAAATGTAAAAGTTTAATCAATTATACATTGTGTTAAATTTATATTGAATATTAGTTATATTTTAGATCTCAGAGTTAAATTTAACTTACTTTTCCTTTTGATATTTTCCTTCTGCAAAATAGTTTCAGATAGCTGTATGTTACTTTCCCTTGGA